AGGTTTTATCTCATGAAGAATATAAGAATGTTCCAATTAGATACCTCATTATGCTATGGATTTGACTGAACAGTGCATAATCCATACGGAATATGCATACACTGTCAGTGCATTAAGAAGGCCATTGTCTATCTACCTAGAGATGAGTATAGAATAAGCCTCTTTGGTGTTTGTGAAACATTGAGCCACTGCTCTATGTGTTTTGTTGGAAATCGATAAAACTACAGGAATAATATCTAATTACTTAAAAGGTTTGATATTTAAAGAATTCCTTCAAAGCAAACATTACTTTTAAAGGTAGGTTCTACAGATGCTTAAAAAAATTCAAAGTAAGTTTTATTCTCATATTCTGGCACATCCTACACATATTCTGTGACGATGCAATTATAGTTAATAAAATCAGATAAATCTTCATGTGCCAGAATTCAAGATATGAAATATGAACCTCAAACGCCCAATAATAATAACTAGAATTTTAAAATTTTGTTTTTATTGAATTTTAGGGATGTTTAAAGAGCTGTAGCAAATTTTATATGCCTAGGAACCATCAAAATGAGTTTATTCAATAGCATAAAAATCAGTAACATAACAGTGAATGAAGTAATTTTCCTATCTCTAATCTTCACATAAAATTACTCTGAAGGAGCTAGCAACCCTTTTGATGACCCCAGTACTAAACAATTAGACCAAAAACATGGAACTATTCCATTACATACTCTAGCAGATTCTGATGCATGTTGAAACTGTGATCTGTCTGAGCATTTTACAACAGTGACAAACTCTCTGAGTGCTTACTGAAACAATGAAACAATGAAACTTTACATTAGCATGAAATGGTACTACCACTATTCTTTCTAGGAGCCTACTGGTAGATTCTAAGAAGTGAGATTACATGTTCCTGAGCCTGCCATGAGTATGCTTCATTGCTACCACTACTCCAGTACATGGTCTTGAGAAAGTCAGTTCACTCCTCTGGACTTAGTTTCAGTGTCTATAAAATGAGGTCAGCCTTAGGAATCCCTGAGGTTCTCTGCAACATCAGTCTCTTGAGCAGGTTCCTCATGAAGCTGACTTCACGACTTCCTGTCACCATCAATTTCTATCCTACTAACTACCCAATTCTTTTAGGTGGGTACAACCCTCACTCTCATTCTGATTGAGCAGGATTTCAGATTTCACCCATGTGTTCACTATTGACAACACTAAATCAGAACAAGCTGAACGAAGACAAAAGATTAGGGTCTGATCATTATCTGTATTGTCTAGCTCATTCTTCAGATTAATAGATAAAACGAGAATAAAGATGAAACAACTAAATAATTACCCATGACATGGATAGTTTTTAATCTTTGCTCTATGTTGATATATAATAAAATATAAAATCACTTTGTAACAGAATTCATCTTAACATATGGGCCACATTTTCTGTACATACCATAAAATCAACACTCGCTACAGGGAAAACTATAAGATACTACAAGTGTACAATTTCTATTTCTCCCTTAGAAAACTGTAAATAAGCTTTGATCATTCCCCCCTCTTAAGGAAGCTGTGGGCAGAAGAGGAACAGACCATTCTGATGTGGCAAATTAATCAAAATAGGAGAATAATACTTCTCAGGGCTGCTATGAGAAAGCAGATAATAAATGAGCAAAAGGAAGTGTCCAATAAATCAGAGTAATGATTATGATTAATCATCATAACTAGGAATTTCCACGGAAGGGTCAAAGCATGGGATTTGTGGTCAGAGAGAATGACTCCTATTGAGTACTACGGCAGGAAATAATGGATCGTGTTGTAAAGAGAATAGCATCAAGGCCCTTGTGAATCAAACTGATACTGCATAATTCTACAACAGCATTTAATTGCAGGTCTTAAGTGAGATGGAATAGAGTGCGATGGGATAAATTCCCAAGTCAGAGGAAATGGCTGTCTTGTTAATGGCTCAAAAATGATCATCCTTTCTCCTCTTCCCAAGCCTTCTAGTTGTCCTTAAAGGGGACAAAAATGTAGACCCTGCTCTCTCCAACTAGTCCCCCATCTACAGTCGAAGTGCACAAAGGACAATGACATAATTCTTCACACAGTTTTTGGTTCCTATCCTTTATTTCCAGAGATGTCAAGCTGGATCAACACTGTGCATCAATGTGGCAAAGCAAATAAAAAGTCTTAAATTTAAAATTTTTTAATATATTTATTATTTTTCTTTTATGCTTATGAGTGTACTGCCTGCATGTGTATAAGAGCACCCATGTCGTGCAAAGTCCATGGAGGTCAGAAGATGGCATTGGATGCCCCTGGAACTGGAGTTACAGAGAGTTGTTAGCCACCATGTGGGGACTGGGAATTGAACCCAGGTCTTCTGCAAGAGCAGCCAATGCTCTTAACTGTTGAGTCATCTCTCCAGCCCTAAAATATTTTTTAAATGTTCAAGCTATTGGTTTATGAATGGCCAGACAGAATTATGTGCATTTAACCCCTGCTGGTGATTTAGGGCCCTATTCTCACATTTTTGTACATGTTCATGGCATGCTTCACAGCTGTGAAGTACTATCTAGTGTTACTAAGTACAAGAAGGCTACGATGTGTTTGAAGGGGAAATAATTATGCTAGACTAGCTTTGTTTGGGCATGTGTTTTAGTGTTATTGGTTGATTAGTCATCAATTTAGTTTCTTCTAACAGAAAAACACAAACAAAGGTCATATTTTTTTTCTGAAAGAGAAAAGAGTCTCCCTGTAGCCCCAGTTGGCTTGGAATCTCCCAGAGATCCTCCTGCCTCTGCCTCCTGAGTGCTGGGATTAAAGGCATATGTCACCAACCCAGCTTCAAGGTCATATTCTTAATGTTAAATAACATTAAGAACATTAATATTCACAAACATTAGAAACTCACAGGAACCTAACCCAGTGTTTCCCTTAGCAGTAATAGCTGAGTATTCAGTATTTCAGTTCCATGACATTACAGAATGTAACTACCATGAAAAATGAGTGTCAACTGTGTATTAACCTAAAAATCTGCAGAAGGTTAGAGACCAGGGCAACTGGATTCTTCACTTCCACTCTGCTGAGCCTGACTTATCCATAAGATTTACAGTGAATTAGGTAAAATGGGATGGGTTTGGATTTTAGAAATGCCATTTACTAGCCAAATGACCTTAAGACACGAAGTAAACCCTTACAGTCTCAGTAGGGCTTTACTGAGAATACTAAGTAAAGAGAGTGTTCTCTTTAATTCCAATCTGTCTCATAGGATCACATTCACAGAGGCTCCAGATCTAACATGTGAAAGAACACTTAGCATTTTCAAGTGTTACGCAAATATATGTAAATTACGATTTTACATTATGACGTCAAAAATTCAGAATGCTTTAAAAGAAAGCAATAACAAAATCAAATTGATGTTAAACTATGGTGCTGCAAATTACAAACATAAATGGACTAAATAATCTGAGAATAAATGTTACGGTTAGAATGAGAAGTATCTCCCATGGCCTCCAAGTATTTGAACACTTGGTCGTTGGTGGTTGTTTGGGGATGGTCATGGAACCTTTAGGAGGTGTGGCCATGCTGGAGCACATCATCCTGGGCTGCTTTGAGAGTTCGTAGCCTTGCTCCACTTTGAGTTTACTCTCTCTCCATTTTCTGCTAGTGCTCAAAGACGTGAACTCTCAGTTTTCTGCTCTGGCTGCCTCTGCAACGATTCCCTGACATGATGGACTCTTATCCTCTGGAACTATACAAAAGCCAAATAAACTCTTCCTTCTATAAGTTGCCTTGGTCATAGTATTTTGCTACAGCAACAGAAAAGTAACTAATACAGTAAATATGTAAGCAATGATGACCTCTCTTACCCAGTCTCTCCTTAGGAGCCCCATGGCTTAGTCCAATTAGACTGACTAAGTATTGCTGTGTCTTTGTGTCTCCTTTAATTGATCTCTATTCTATAGTATTTCTTCTACCTAGTAGCTAAAATAGATCCTCCAGTAACATGATTAGTAGCCAAGACTCAAATATAAAAAATTTAGCTTTAAAACACAATTGCTGAGGCAGGCATAGAAGTAGGCAGGTATCTGTGAGACCAAGGCCAGCCTGGTCTACATAGGATTCCAGGCCTGCTGGGGATACAAGGAGACCATATCTCAAAACAAAACAAAACAAAACAAAAACTCAATTGCTTTGTGACCTAGACAAACCATTAATTTCACTAGACCCTGGTTTTCCTCTGTGAAATAGGGATGCTAATAATGGCACCTTGTTCTCAGGTTGCTGTGAAAGCAGGTGACTGGTACTAGCTCTCTCCAGTACTCACTCAGGTCAAGATCTCCCACCTGCCCCTTCAGTCTTGGGTGCTTTCCTCTCTTTTAAAGGGCCTTAGCACTAACACACTGAGTACCTAACTACAACTCAAAGAGATCTTTCACTCTTCTGCATTGTGGTTTTATCTACTGACCTGGACTTAGTAATATAAAGTCAGGATTATTGTTTTCATAGATTATGAAAGTAATTCATAGTCATTATAGGAAACAGAGAAAACAGGAAAAATATCAAAAAAACTAGTTTAAAAATTATTCATAATTTTACCACTCAGAGGTAACAATTGGTAAGATTTTGGAGTATTTTTTTTCAAAAGAGTAGATGTTATGTTTCAAGAAGACAGGTAACCAAGTTATAATCTTAGAATTTTTCCCTATTTCCCTCCTGCCCAACAACCTTCCATACCTCCAGGGTCTAATCTAGCTCTTAGCAGCTAATAAATACACACCTATTCCCTAGCTGACTGATTAAGTGTTCCTCTGCACTTATATGTAGACTATCTATACACAAACATGGGGACATTGTCAGAGTTAGTGGTATAGTCTCTTTGGCCCTATGCTGCTAGCAGTTCACACTGCTACAGGTATTTCACGTCCACACTGTGTATGGCTGTTTATATTCGGTGATGAAAATATTTCTGGTGGAGCCCCACGTTTCCCTTTTTGACATACTCAAGTTTCACATACCTACAGGGATGGTCATTCCATGAATTTTATCAGCCCAGCCTGCATAATACCGCAGCGTTTTGATGACTCCCTGCAAATCTACATAAAAAGCTTGCAGGAATGGCTTGCCACCATTTAGGGATTCCATGGTCTGTAGGAAAAGAAATAGAAGTCAAATCCTCAGAATTTTCTAGTGATACACTAATTTCTAGAGTAGAAGAGATAAGGAAAAGGGGAGCACAGATGAATATGAATGGTGATGTGTACTTGTTCACCTCTGATTTTCCAAACAGGAAGATTTATAGTTTTACAAGTTTGCTTTAGTTTCTACTAAAAACCACAATGGACACATATGTGCATGCTCTTGTGTCCGTGCTTTCATTAACCACTGTCCAAATACATAAACACAGCACTTCTTTAACTCATGATAAAGAAGTGCCCTGCTTGACAAACCACCTTCTGTTCTATTAATGATCAGAGCTGAATGGGGATTTTTTTTCTTTTTGAGCATACACCAGTTATCCGAATCCATAAAAGGAAATGGGGACACAGGTTTTATATGCAATTGATGAGAATATACATAAAATGTTTAACACAGCTGCCAAGACCCCTGCTGCAAACTGAAATATTCACAGAGAATAGCAAGCTTATTTATTACCACCAAATAAACAAGGTCTCCTCTAGGAAAGTCCAGACTTTAACAACTTAAATACTGGCTTTTGTAAACATTCGTATTAACAACCATTATCTATTAAGAGTAAAGAATTTGGTCTATTTAATAAAAATATCAATAGTAAATAACTTTACCTTATAAACATTATTATTTTAATGGCATGTTCCTAAATTGATTAAGTCTGTTACAAAAATAATGGCTAATTAACACAATGAAGTAAAAAAATTTTGACTTGAAATATATTAGGGTATTAGAAGTTTAGTAAAAGAAATAAACAAAAGTATATGTATGTTTATAATTTCATGCTTCTATAACAGCATTATATAACATACACTGGTATAAAATTGTTTAATTATTGACAAAGTTAAAATTAAAAGTTTCCATTCAATGAAGTTCAAAACACCATTATTGATGGTGCAATTTACCTACTCATTGTACAAATGAAACTCATCTCAAAATACCTTGCTACTTATCACTGTGCACTGGCTCACTTGTATAAAAGGGATACAATTATTTCCAAATACTTTAAAAAATTTTTACTGAGATTTTAAAATTTCATAGAATATTTCCCACTAAAATCCAGACCCCCTCCCCCATCCCTGCCTCCCCCTCTCCTCCCACCAAACCCTATGCACTTTGCCATACATGCTGAGTCCTAGTCATTCAGGTGTTTGTACCCAAATGTCCTTCAGTGTAAATTTGTCCACTGGAGACTAGTCAGCCCATCCAGTGGCTATATGTAAGTCATACTCTCCCTCACCCAGCAGCAATCAGTCTTAAATAGTCCTCAATCTAGTGCTGGCCTGCCACCTATTTCTCACTTCCCCTTTGGGACCTTGTTTCATTGAGCTGACATGGGTCCCGAGTTCAACACCACCACTGCCGCAGGCTTACATGAGCAAGCCTCCAAGTGGCCTGGAAGCCTCCACCTCCTTATGTTCATGAACCAGCCCTGCCTCTTACAATCTTTCTGCCTCCTCTTCCACAATGGTCCCTGAGCTGTGGGTGGGTGAGGTTCTATATAGGAGTCCATCCGACACTCTGTAGTCTCTTATTCTCCAAAACTTGGCCAATTGTGACCTTTTGTGTATATTGCACTCTGATGTACACAGAAGCCTCACTGGTGAGAGTTGAGGGGTGCATTAGCCCTCTCTCTACCCCTTATTCCGCTATGTTCCATAAGCCTTAGTTGTAGAGATTCAACTGCACATGTGTCACCTCCCTGGCGTCTCCCAGGTTTAAGCTCTCTGTGCCTGACCAGATGTGCAGCTCTGCAGCAGCCTCTATCTGTTGCAAAAAGAAACTTCTCTGATGAGTGCTGTACAGCATGTTTGTCACTCTAAGGGAGGTCTTTTCTATTTGGCTCTGCATTCCCTACCAAGCAGCTCCTAGGTATACATATGCATTAATGTTCAGACACTCCATGTACATTTCTCATAGGGTTTCCGAGAAGAGTGAATCTCGAGGGGGCTAGGAAACCTAGAGGAAAAAGTGATGCCTTAGAAACTAGTTCTTTTTAGAACATTTGTGTGTTCATAAATTGGACATTACATTCTCCATGTAGCTAGCTTGCATAGAATCAAGGTCTATATAGCATAAAGAGAACTAGAGTCCCTAACCAATTTGGGGATCAGGGAAGTATAGTACCTACATTCCTAAATGGTCTCCATCTCCAGAAATTCTATATTCTCAAAAAAAAAAAAGTTCATTTTAAAAATGGCAGCAGCAAAACAACAAAACCACTGGACCAGAAGTTCCTATGGAAAATAAATTATTCTAGTGAAAAGAAATGATGATCTCTCTTTTCTCATAATTCTAGAAAACGATAGAATAGAGCAGAATGTATGAGAGCTCACATCCTGCTTCTGGAGGTGAAAAAAGTCATCCTATTCGATTTGCATAAGGACCACTTGGTCCTTGTCTTCTGCAAATAGCCTGAGGGTTCTCCTGTTGCTTGATGCTTTTGCTTTGCTTATCAAGTGACTGTGCTGTGCTGTTTGTGGGAGGTGTGAGAAAGTGAAAGCATAGATCTTTACTAGTGATGCAATTCTGTGGTTTTTTTCTTCAAAATGCCCTAAGAGGAGAAATCTCTCTTCAAGTCTTTGGTCAGGCAGTCTAGGAGATTCCCAGGGTAACAGAGGCTATTGCTGCAACCCTTGATTACCTCCCAGAACTTGAAGACCCAGCTGCTGAAGACAGGACATACTTCAGACACAGGACTTGGAGTAATGGAGCTAGAACTGACCTAAAAGTCTCCTCGCTGAAGTTCTAGAGGATACTATGCAATTTGACAGGGGAGGAAATCAATCAGTGGTACAACCCCAGCTTTAAAGCCTAATAACTACAACAATGACTGGCACAACAAACTATAGTGGTACAGTAGTGGTAATTTTATCTTGGGGGGTAATCAACAGCTGTTTAATTCTCTCAATGGGAGAGAATGCATATGTGGCACTGTAAACGACAAATACACATGGCTGGAGAAGTCATGGATCCTAGAGAAAACCCTACTTCTGTCACATCCCTAGACAGATACCATTTCTTACTGTATGCTGAATATGGATCCTTATATTTACAGGTAAGAATACCATTCACCGCTCATCAAAGAAGCTTCTTTTGCAACAGATGAGACTATTACAGAGTTCTACAACTGGTCACACATAGATAATAAGTGTCTGTGAGATGCCCAGCCCTAAGTGACACTTCTACAATGGACCTCTATACTTAAGTTTCACAGAACATAATGGAACAGATAGAGAGAATACTGATGCATCTCTCAATTCTCACCATGAAGCTTCCTCACTCAACAGAGGGGGATGCACACGGAAAGCCACAACTGGCCAAAGTATAGAGAATAGGAGACTGCAGAGTTCGTGTCCCTGGAGAGGTTCCTATATTAAACTTCACCCACCCATGGCTCAGAAACCATTGTGGAGGAGGGGGCAGAAGGATTGTGGGAGCCAGGGCTGGTGCATGACCATAAGGAAACACGAGTCTTCCAGACCTCTGGGAACTTGCCCTTGTGGGTTTGCAGTGATGCTGATAGCATTCACAAGACCCATGCAAGCTCAATCAGACAAAAACCCAGCATAGAACTGGGGAGATGGGAGGGAAGCCCCAACCTTAACTGAAGAACTATTGGAAGCGGATTCCTGTTGGGTGAGGGAGAGTTGATCGTCTTTAAGGGAGTGACTCTAAATAGGCTGACTAGACTCTAGTGAATGGATCACACTGAGGGACATCTGGGTACACAAAATTAACTCAGTAGGCCTTGACATGTATGGAAGAATGCATGGAATCTGGTGGGGTGGTTATGGGAGGCACATACTGGGGATTAAGGCATATTGTATGAAATGCACAAAAATTCAGTAAAATACACATTTAGGGGGAAAAAGCCCTGAGAACTTCCCCAAACAGCTCCATATTGCAGAAATATTATACACTCTTCTAGCTACAGACTTAACTGCCTTCTTAGTTTACTTACTGCAAGAAATGCCCTGTCTCGTTCCACTAAATCTGCAAGCTTGTCCAAAAGACGTCCTCTTTCTGAAGCATCCATCCTTCTCCACACTGAACCAAGAGAGAAAGCCAGCCGGGCTGCCTGCACAGCTTTGTCTATATCTGCCTGTTGAAGAGGAAGAGGCACAACTGAAGGGAGGGAAACACTCCACACAGAGGAAGAACTATCTGGTGTTATCAAAGATGATGTTTGAAGCTCAGCGTGGCATTTAGGAAACAGCTCTGTTTTTTGCCTGTTGGTGGTTATTTCACGAGGGATCTTCTAAGAAATACATACCTTGTCCGCTTCTTGAACTTCACACACCTCCTCTCCTGTGGCTGGATTATAGACGGGGAACACTCTCCCACTCTCAGAGTTCTGCCACTCATTGTTAATAAAGATCTAGGGGAGACAATGAGATTTTGACATAGGTGATCAGAAGCCAGTGAATGACAAAGCAATATGGAAGTACTATGGTAATAATAGTAGCTCTATACATTTATTGGTACATATTGTAGAATACGAAATGCTGAAAACATGCAAGGCAGTTTAGAGCCTAGCATCACCCACAATGCAAGAATATCTTCTCATGATAACTGCTTCAATGTCATCCAGTGACTGAATAGCATTCTTGCCATTAGTGATCATGTCAACCAGTGAGAGAGACCTTTCATCAACAGACAGAGAAGGACAGAGTCTCATGTACACACAATCACACACTGAAGCTAAAAAATATTGGTAGTCCAGTTTCTGGCCATTATCTCTAAGAGTTAAATCCTGGGTTGAACTGTCAGTCATCAGGCCTTTTGCCCCAGTTTCTCTGTCAGAAGCCCCAGGGACTCGAGGAAAACCTGATGTGCTAGAAGAAGCATTTCCCCAATTTATAGTCAGAACCTGAACTGCGGAGAGACTGTGCCCCATCTAACTAATGAGTTATGCATACTACAAGCACATGTGTTAGCAAAACAAAAACGCCTCTAGAACTTTCAAACTGATCTTAAGAGTTCTTAAGGGGCGTGCTTTTCCTGTATTTGGAAAGGAGATGTAAAAGAAGAGGTCTTACTCCTTTTATTCCTATCCTTACTCTTTTTATTTTCTGTATGAGTGAGTCAAATGTAACCTTTGAAACAACATCAACATCTGCTGAATTTAAGTTTAGTTTCTAAGTTTTCTTATGAAGCGGTACTATTTATAAGGACTGATACATATTTCATGTATTTCATTAGTTCTTGCAGGCCTTCCAAAGAGAAAATTATTTATTTTTTTTTACTTATTTGTGTATGTGTATATATACACACACACACACACACACATTGCTATGGTGCACATTTGGAAGTCAGAGGACAACTTGCAGGAGTCAGTTCTCTCCTTTCACTATGTGGGTTCTGGGGATCAAAATTGGGACATTATGCTTGGCAGCAAGTGCCTTTATGCACTAAGCTATCTTAGCAGCCTCCAAATTACTTATTTTTTAAATAGGAAAAACTCATTTTCTTACTATCCATTGCTCACTTAAAATGCAAGACAAAGTATGGGAGCTAAGTCATCTTACTTTTTCTATATCTTGAAACATTTTACTATTTCATTATCCTAGAAGTATTTCATTATCACACCTCACACATTTCTACTTAGCAATTAAAATGCTAAAATAATAAGGAACCAGTGAAGATACGGAATTGTGTAGAAATGAATGGTCACCACAATTACAATAGCCTTCAGTTTTCTGGTTATGCTGCTTATAGTAAAACATCATCTTTCAAAAAGTTAGAAAGAGAAATGGTCCAAAGACATTATTTTTGTCCTATGTTTTTTTTTTTTTTTAGCCTTCACTGTGCATAGTTAAGAATTTTGAAAACCAGGCATGCTGGCACACACCTTCAATCCTGGCACTCAGGAGGCAGAAGCAGGTAGATCTCTGTCAGCTTGAGGCCAGCCTGGTCTACATAGTGATTTCCAGACCAGCTGTGGCTACAGGGAGATCCTGTCTCAAAAAGACAAAAAAAAAAAAAAAAAAAAAGAATTCAGAATTTTAATTTTCTTCCTATAACGAAAGGGTATAGAGGAAAATTAACACTGAAAGATATTCCATAATTATTAAATCAGAAGATGGAGGTTAAAGAGAAATGCTTAAGATGATCTGATAAGGGTGTGTCAGACTGTATGGTGATGTTGTTGGTTAAGAGTCTTTAAGATTTTTCTCAAACTGATCATAGAATCAGGCTGTGGGTATAGTTAGTGGTACGTGCTTGCATGAGCGTTTGATCATGAGCACTGAAAACATAAAGTTGCCAGGAATCAACAGTACCAATAAGAAGGGAGGAAGGAAGGGAGAGGGAGGAGGGAGGGAGGGAAAGAAAATGATAATCTAAGGTATCTGTCATTCAATAAAAAGGATTTCATTTATCATTTTGCAATAAGACTAACAAGACACTGGACCACCTTATTTTAATATAAAGATATGTGATAGCTCTTTAATCTTTTATATCTATGTTACTCACCTGATGTGAGTTACTTCACTTGATGTGACTCATAAATGAACAAATATTGCCATTTACACATAGGTACATGTATAAAAGCAACTTAAAGGGCAAAGGCCCTACAGAAAAATTTTAAAACGTTCATTGGGCTGATCAATCTAATTGACATTTATAAAGTTGAAAACGAAAATCCCTTTTAATTATAAAAGAAAGAAGGCAGTCATCTGTTTTCTACAAAATGATGAAAATTCTCAGCAGGATTTCACTGGGATAAAGAAGAGCCAGAAGTGCTGGTAAACTGTAACTTAGCAGAGCTGTGTTTAAAATGTGGAGCTGGGGCTGGAGAGATGGCTCAGCAGTTAAGAGCACTGGCTACTCTTGCAGAGAACCTGGGTTCAATTCTCAGCACCCACAAGGCAGCTAACAATCAGCTCTAACTCCAGTTCCAGGGAATCTGACACCCTCTTCTGACCTCTATGGGCATTGCACGACATGGGTATACCTACCTACATGCAAACAATACACTCATACACATTAAATAAAAAGAAATGAGATATTTTTTAAAACGTTTAAAATCTGAGTTGATATTTACAGCAAAGGAAGTGTTCCAGACCAATGCACAGCAGCTGCTGAGCAGGTAGCTGCACGCAAAGGCAGTGCTCATCTCAGTCAGCTCTAACGCCACACCAGGAAACTGTGGAATGAGTTTCATTTGCTGTGTTTAAATTCTTATTGTTTCATCATCTCTTTGTTTTCACTCTAAATTATTCAAAAAGTAATTAAAATGTAAAAACTTGTTAAAAACTCAGAAAGGGTTCACTGGCATCAGATGGTAAATATATGATTTTTTTTCCTGGTATACAAAATGTTAAGATTTGTATTATGTTATTACTTAATATATTAGCCTTACAACATTTAGAAAATGTACTAACATCGTTGGTATGTGAGATAACGCACACAATCGCAATACTTGAACATTTTCAGGTCCTCTGGGTAATTTCAGCAGTGTCCAGTTCTGTGTGTAACGTTTGTCTCTGACCAGGTCTCCTTGGAGAAATGGTTTATGTCATGGTGGTTGCAGGGAAAATGCAGTGTCAGGCATGAAGCATTATGGTGCCAAAAATCTAGTAAATGATCAAATTTGATGGGGGAATGATAAAAGGACATGGGAGCGAATACAAAGAGGCTCCAGTGACCAATGCTGGAACCTAACCCTCCACTCTCTCATCTTTCAAGTCCGCTCTCTGCCTCGATTCCACTCCCACTTCCTCGTTTCTCTCTATGCGGCAGTTAAAATCCCCTCCAATTCACCAGTTCTTAACTTGGATCTAAACTGCTAGTTTCAGTGTTTGTTTCATTTCTAAAACTTTTGCTTTGTTATTCAAAATAAATAGTAACAGATTATTATCCACTGAATGGCAAAAGTATCTGATAATATTCAATGATACATTTTTAATGAATAAGTAAATAAAAGGTAAGAAGTTCCAGGTAGCAGATATGAAGGAAGAATGAAACTAAATGCCCACCGTTTATCACAGCCCACAGTGATCTTTACTGCAGGAAAAAAATCGTCAATGGATGGTAAAACTAGTAGGCAAAATTTTAATGAAAAACTAGATATTCATGTATTCATGTCTCAAAGAATTTCACCACCATATTTCTTAATTGCAAAGGGAAAAACTCAAACTTTACATTGGACAGCCTTGGCAAACACCACCTTAATGTATCCTGTGATCAGAGTTGACAACCAATAAAGAGACCAACTGGCATCGGTCTACTGTGAAGCCTGAGAGAAATGAGAGCTCTTCTGCAGTATTTTTACTCCAAAGAAGCTTAATCACAGGAAAACACATGCCAATCCAAATTAAAGACTGTCCTAAAAATAACTGGCCATACTATTCTAAAGTTTCAAGGTCATAAAAGATAGAGATGATCTTTTAAAGCGATTCTAAATCAAAGAACACTAATGAGGCACAAAGAATGATTATGTCATGTCATCATGGATTGGCCCCCGGACTAGAAAAAGAAAGAAAAGAAAAACAGGCAAAAAGAGCAGAGATACTGAGATAATTGATTAAATATGATTAAGGTTTTTTTTTGTTTTGTTTTTGTTTTTTTGGTTTTTGTTTTGTTTTTGGTCCTTTTGAAACAGGGTTTTCCTGTAGCCCGGGGCTGTCCTGGAACTCACTCTGTACACCAGGTCTTGAACTCACAGAGATCCACCTACCTCTGCCTCCCAGATGCTGGGATTAAAGGCCTGTGCCACCACCCGGTTTATGATTTTTTTTTTCCTGGAGGGGGAGTCTTTTAAAGGCATGCACCACCAGGCCCAGTTATAATTAAGGTTTTAAGGTTAGATAATAATATGCCAAAGTCAATTTCTTGATTTCTTACTATTATACTGTAGTTATGTGAGAAAAATTGGAGAATCTGAGTGAAGGGTATATGTACTTATTTTGTAGCTTTTCGTGACTCTGATATCATTAAAAAATGAAAACAAAGCATATAAAAGTTATGGATCATCTTTCAGTGCCTAACTTTCAAATACAAAATGTCTGCCGGGCGTGGTGGCACATGCCTTTAATCCCAGCACTTGGGAGGCAGAAAAAGGCTGATCTCTGTGAGTTCCAGGCCAGCCTGGGGGAGACCCTGTCTCAAAAAGACCAAAAAAAAAAAAAAAAAAAAAAAAAAAAAAATCAAATATAAAATGTCTAAAACAAATTTAAAATTTTTTTTGTTTATTTTTATTTTATTATCTGTGTATGAGTATTATGGCTGCATGTGTTTAAGTGTACCGTGTCACGAAATGCCTGAGGAGGTCAGAAGAGGGCATCAGAACCCTGGAACCAGAGTTATGGACAGTTGTTAGCCGCATATGGGTGCCAGGAATCGAACCCAGGTCCTCTGCAAGAGCACAGTAATTAA